TAACCCTAACCCTAACCCTAACCCTAACCCTAACCCTAACCCTAACCCTTAACCCTAACCGTACTCGGCCACGGATGGGAGCTCACAAGTGGCTCAGGCAATCCGTCCCTTTCTCTCTCCTGGCTGTGCGTGAGACCCAATCTCGTGCTGAGCTCTATGTTGATGAAAAGAACGCAAAGGTATTCGAAGATAAAGCCGGCGATGGTTTCATTTGTATTCACGTCGAGTGGCTGAGTCTCGGTCAAGACTATCTTCAAGAATTGACCCTTAAATCCAATGCCGAAGAAAGCTCCAACGGAATCATCTGTGATATACGAGGCCTCCCTCGGGAAACCAGCGTCATCTACGTTCATTTTCTACTCCACTACACTGTGCTGAGGCCGGGAGGATGAAGGACGGGTGCTGCGAACAGCGGGTATATTGCAAATGCGACTTGTGTCTAGGATCTGTAGCCTGCAGCCGACGCGACGAGACTGAGGAAAGTACCAGAGGTGGCAAAGAGACGCGAGGTCAACTCTGAGGGCTGATCGAAAGGAATGTGGTTTGAAACATGTATAGGATTCTATGTGAGCATCTAGGGTTCTGTCGGTGCCGGCTTCCAGCCGCTGCGCATCACTTCTTCGCAGTCGTCCTTTTTGCGTCCGAGCTCTACGACAAAGCCAAAAAGAGAGTGGCTGATCAGGTCTTGCCAGATGCGGCTCCACAGATTGACAATGTTGGAGCGCATGACCCAGTCGTACATGAGGTGGTCCCGCCATTGGTAAGTGGCCACGGCCTTGGGATTGACGAAAATGAGCGGTCGCCGCCTGCTGCGGACGTGGATGTCGTAGCTCGGGAGAAGGCACTCGGACGCCAGACACTGAGGATGTGTTCGGAAGCGGATGGGACCGTCGTCGACGCCTGCGTTTGTAGACGAGTCGTTGCCATCCTTGCCTGTGGGCAGGAACCATTTTGCGTCGAAGATGGTGATGCCGTTCCAACAGCTGTTGACTGGGATGACGTCGCCTCTGCGCAAGCTGGCGATATCCTGCTCGAGCTTGAAGTAGGGCCATAGTGGTGTCGGACGATTCCGTTGCACATCTCGCATGACCCATCTGTGGGTGAAACGTCGGTTCAATGACAAATCGTTACAAAAAGGTTGTCTGTGTCAGCCTGTGGCGTTCGTGTCACTGGACGGACAGCCTAAAAGGGGCACTCACGTGTCATAAAAGCCTAGTGGCAGATAGTCGAGCGCGCAAACCTGGTCAAAGTGACCCTCGTTCGTTGCGAGCAATTCTAGAACGGACTCTGAGAGCGGAAGGGATATGTATTGTCAAAGAAGGGTCAGCTCACGACTCAGGTTGTGGCCGCAATGAGCGGACAAGTGACGGAGTCAAGACCTACCTGGGCGGAAGAAGATGTCGTTCAGCCAGATGACTTTGGAAAAGGGGCGGCCGTGCAAGCCGTGGACGCCTGCTTGTATTGGGTTCAGAGCTTCGTTGCGGATGATGGCGAGACGCTCGATGCGATCCATGTCTTGTCTGCGAGTGTTGTCGAGCATGCGGATGCTGTTTTGGACACCACGAAGCTGCAGATCGTGTTCAAGCAACGAGAGGAGCTGCTTTGTCCGGTCCTCAGAGTTGCTCTCGTAGATGGAAACGTAGACATTGTCTCTGCCGAGGTGGTCGACTAGCTCCAGAAGCGAGTCTGAGAAGGCGGGAAAAAGGTGCTCTGAGTTGTATAGATTGGCAGCGATATACGTGGTCTCGTTGTTGGCAGGAGCACCTGAAAAGTCGGAGAGGCCTCGGCGAGGGCTGACGGTGAAAGTTCTCCAAGCGACTGTGCACGTGAGAGCCAGCAGAACGATGGCCTTGATCTTGTCGCTCCTTGTGCTGCTGTTGCAACTGCGGTTGCTTAGCGACCTCGATGCCAGGGTGACCAAAATAGAGATAGTTGCGACAGGCAAGCCGATCCAGACGATTGCAAGAAAGATGTGTAGTGTCGAGAACATCTGGAAATAGACGTGGGCAAATATGGAGACGAGCAAGGGCAAGCCAACGAGAGTTGGGACCAGCCCGTACGAGGATCGTTCTGCAAATCCACCTAGACGTCGAGCCCATGGAGCGGAGCTCCAGCGCTGCTTCGATATGGAAGGATAGAGCAGGTCATAGTCGGATGTGGAAGCATGCGGCTCAAACGGTGCGCCCTCTCCCTGCAAGGGGAGCAGAGGCACCTTTTGCGAATGTTGGTGATGATGATGAAGCATGAGGTGGTCAAGACGTAGGTGTTGACCGAGAAGGACGAAGACGGAGGCGGTGGCGGTGGTGACGGTGGTGATGGCAACGACAAGCACCGGCAGCGAGGTCGTGTATGCCCGTCTGTTTGGCTTGCAGATTGACAAGACTGAGGATCAACGGTGCATTTGCAAGCTGTACGTCGGACCTTGGAACGGAAGCCACTGAAAAGAAAGAAAGGTTGACAAGAAACGGTGTACTGGATCGGGGTGAAGATGGGTGATGGGAGAACACAAAACAGGCGTTGCTACTATCAGTAGCACATGAGGTGGGGACGTGCATGCAAGAAGCTCCAGCCGTCGGCCAGGTATCGTCCAAGGGATCGAAGCACATGAAGAGCCAGAATGAGCCGAGACGAAGCAGGGCATGCCAAGAGAGCGCCGACGTCGCCTCAGCAAAGCGAGAAGCCTGGCGCTGTCTAGCTATGGCAACGAAAGCAGGTGTCGACTTTGGGCCTGCTCTTCGGCAGGCTGCGTCAACTCAAAGTTTAAAGAGTTTTCTCGTTGCCTCATCCTCTTTGCCGTCTGCAACAAAGAGGCTGGCACGCGCGAAGAGAGGGCCGGCGATTGTGAGAAGAGGCCCAGAACAACACGGTGGACAGGCAGCCATGTCGCAGGTCCCCGCAGAGAAAGCTCAAATCTCCCAAAAAACGTGCCGTGTCCGGAATGGAAAGGGGAGAGTGGGTGCATGAGGGCGCATCAACGGCAGCAGAGCGTGCGCATGAAACGGGGGAGCCTCGTTGGGAGGCTGCCGGCCAACCAAGCTTAGTTGCAGCTCAGATTCGTCGACGGTGGGAAAGCGGTGTAAAGGCAGCCAAGGCGGTGCTGAACCCAACGTGCTCAGTGACCCGAAGAACTTCTGGTTTACGAAAAACGTGCCGTGATTCGCTCGCTTAGCAGCTTCGAGGCGTTGACAGGTGATTTGCCCAGGCGCCTCGTTTCAGAGTTGTGTGTTGATTGGCCCTTGGAAATTTTAGACTCGCAGGCACGAGAGGCAGAGCAAAAGATACGGGCGAAATTCCAGACCGAAGAGATGAGGGTCGAAACTGTCTCTCTTTCTCTCCCCTGGACCCTGAAACAGAGCCACATTTTGAAAAAAAAAAAAAAAAAAAAAAAAAA